TACGAAGTTATACGATTGCGTGCGTGCGTGCGTGCGTGCGTGCGTGCGTGCGTGCGTGCGTGCGTGCGTGCGTGCGTGCGTGCGTGACGTGCGTGCGTGCGTGCGTGCGTGCGTGCGTGCGTGTGTGTGTGTTTGTGTGCGTGCGTGCGTGCGTGCGTGTGTGTGTGCGTGTTTGTTTGTTTGTGTGTATGTGTATGTGTGAGGAGGAGGAAGAAGAGGAGAACTGACGCTCTTTGTCGTACATTCGATAACGCAGCAATATCCCTCTGAGAATCCTACCCTCTAAAACCCAACCCAATCCAACCCCCCGCTCCAGTATAAGTGACATACACTCATACATATTTCTCTCAGCTTCATGAAAAGACACAACGTATATACAGACACACATCGTGTACTTACACACAGAACATACTCTCCTATGATTATAAGGATAATTAAAAAAAATATATACACATGCGCTAACGTGCGTGTGATTGCAACTTTTATTATAATATATTCTGTATAAATAATTAATTCAATTGTGAAAATAAGATGAGGGTGTGGGCGAAATTTGATTGGGAGAATCGTTCTGCGAGCACGTGTTGACTTGCCTTTATTTTTCTGACGTAGTGGCTTTTCTTGCTACAAAGAAAGAAGAATGGGAAAACAAAGAATAGGATAAGAAATCGAGAAGAATTTGTTTTTATCGTTATTTTCTTCATCCATTTTCAACGAGATTTTATGATCGGAAAATGCAGAAGGTAAGTACGCACGAAACAAGAAAAGAAAGATAAGCAAAGCAAATGACTGATATTAAAAATGATGGACTTTGCGGACTTTTCTACTATATTATACATATGCACTAGTAGCAATGTTCTGTTATGGTTTGTAAATGTATATATTTCTATTTAGCTTGCTGCGTCAAAGATTCATGTTAGTATTTATTATTTTTTTCCGTTTGACATTATGGTTTCCATACAACATCGTGCTCAATGATATTTTCGTGATCACGAAAATAACTTACAATTAGTTAAGTCATTAAAATTTGTTTACGCAATGGTTTATTGAAATTTTCGAAAAGACTCGTGAGACATGAAAATACGATACTATAATACTAAATCGGAAATACTACCTATATCGAATTTATATCTAATGAAAGTTTTTTTGAATTTTCGAAAGAATGGATCTCGATTAGTTGAAGAGCGATCAACGACAATTCGAAACAATGAGTGTTTTTCAAATTTAGTATTTTCTATAAATCGTATATACCTATTCATCGATCAATCAGTATATAGCACCAGCGTTTATTTATGCGGAAATGATCATCTAGGTGCTTGTATGCATGAGCGCGTTTCTGCAATTACTCGTGCTCGCGGACGATCCTCCTGTTGAAAACAATTAGCAGCGAATTCGCGATAGAAAAATCCTGTCGAATTTGACATTTAATTTACCCTTTCCTCACCGACACATGACGATCTAGTTATATCATCGCGATATCGCTGCCAACTGTCTTCCCTATATGTGCGTATTTTTTTTTTGTGCATATACGCACATTCATCCGCGACTTATTGTTATGGCCATCTGCAAATCTGAGAAAAAATTCCTTGTCTTTTTGCTTTCGATCTTTCTCGCGCTCTTTTCTTCCCGTTTCACGGCTCGTTTTCATCGCTGATTCCGATATTTAAATATTTTTGTTACTTTGCGCACAATTCGTCATATACGTATTTCTTAAAATTATTATTATCACGCACGTTTTTGTCCGATAACAATAACATGTTTCAAATTGAACGAAGAAACAAGTAGAATGCTAATTAAATTCCAATTATATTTACCTCTTCCAATCGCTCGTCCCTTATTCTCCCGTTACGATTTATATTGTGGAGGAATCTTTATATTTCTATACATGAAATCTTCTATCGCACACGCGGCTCTGATATACGTAAATACAAGCAAACGGTGATAGAAAGTAAGAAAAAGAGAGAAACGAACATGCGAATGATGGAACAGGAGCGAGGGGAAAGAGTGTTTTCGAAGAAAGAATGAATTTTCGAGAGACCTTTATAACGCGATATACCAGACAGAGTATGAGTATTAAAAGAAAAAAATTTTAATGAAATTAAAACGTCGATTATACGTGAGAGCGAATTCACGACGAATAAGGGTACGAAATAATAAAAAACGCCCCTCGTTAACGTCACATGCGTCAGGCGAGGACGCGTGTCTCGTTGATCTCTCGACGATCGAGACACGACGCCGACGGTTCGTCCGAAAGGATGGATCATCGGTACCATTCTCTCTGATCGACAGAGCACGACGAGCAAAATGAGGGAACGACGAGTAGAAGAAGAGGGAGCGGGAAGAAGAAGAGAAAGAGCATAAGACAAAAATTTTATCAATATTTTCAATACATCCGCATACACATGCAAATCTTGTATAAAAGTTTTAATATAACACAATTGCTCCTGCCGGGAGCCGAGCGACGCGTCGGCAACGCATTGGTGTTCCTCACAACATATCTTACTTGAAATTTATTTAGGAATAATTCCGACAGATAAGATTCCGCGCAAGAAACGCGACAACAATTTCGAGATTATGTAAATCATCAAATTTCTTCTGCGGCTAAAGAGGGACGTCAATGTTGGACGTTGTGCCTCGCGCGATCGGCGTTCTAGTATACTAAACTAAAAAAAAAAAGATAACCCACGTATACCGAAAGACTCAGGTGCGAGAAAAGTCAGTATAGTTATTATCCTGATTAAATCGGAAGAATTACTCAAATTTGTAAGTTACAGTGTACGTACGTCGCGCAAAACGTACGTGTATAGCTCCTCTATGTGAGAAGCGCGCTAATCGATCGTACGATCATCCGCAACCGTTTTCCCCCATTAAGAGGAGAACGTGTAAAGAAAGACTTGTTGGTCATATAAATTTACCAAGTCCTTCGACACAAGTCGCATGAACTCTTTCGTCAAGGAAATTAATCACAACTGAAAACAGTATACGATAAAAGACGAATGAAAATTGTATACGTTTTACATGAGATTACGTCGCCGAGATTTATACAAATGCAAGATTATCGATGAAAATTAATACTATTTAATTAATTTGATATTTTCTTTTTTATCAATTTTTAATGAATTTTTATCATTTTATTTAAGGCGATACTGGAGCGACTAGCCGAATTCCAATAGTGTCGTTGATTTACCGATGATTTGTGCACATGTATGCGTGTGATATTGATGTAGTAATATGTAGTGATGTGTTTATGTTTACTATCCATCAATATCGCACACACACATTGTAAAAAATTTTCATGTACATATTTCTCGAAAATTAAATAAATCTAATTCTACAAATAGTACTCCATTTATTATTGTACTCCAATTATTATTGTTTCTTCATGTAATCTACTAGTCTAATCAATAACTGTAATTTCATAAGTATGAGTTGCTTTTATATCAAGTACACGATGTCTCAACTTGTTGTCTCAGCTCTAGACACTACATACAGTTAAAAAATGGTAAAGAAAATTTAAATTATAAAAATTTTTTCCGTTCTCGGCATAAACTCCGAGCGTCCGACACGTATTAATGCGTATACTTTAATTCTGAAAAAGAACTTTCAAATTAAAGTAATACGTAGAAATTCTAACACATAAATTATTATTTTTAATCAGTAAAACAAACAGATCTAGCATCGCCTTAACAATCATCGTATATGCAAGAATTGAGTCTAGGACACGCGTATAATTTCGGCGCGCGAAATCTTCTCGATTAAGACTAAAATTAATATTATATTATTTACTATTTAATGATAAATCTATAAATATAGTTATTGAAAACGAGACAATCACACAAAAACTTAAATGTCGATGACTATCGACATTTCCTCTGTCGCGTGTAGTGTAGCCAAAGGCAATGGAATTTGGCAATGAATTATATTTGTTGAATGATATATTGTTTAATTTTGTTAAGATCTGTCTTTGGCCATACACGACGATAAGTTAAGTCATGCGTGATATATGCGATCGTGAGCAATTAGTTTCCCTAACGAAGAGTCATTTTTAATAAAATTATAGTAAAAATATTTACATACACAAATCTGATTGCAAAATAATCTTAAAGTGTATGTATGTATAATAATTAAATTTTTGTAATGTAAAATTAGTTTTTCTGGTAATTATTTGTGTCACATAATGTGTTAATAATAATAACAGATTCAGTTTAGAGTTATGCATTAATGCATATATGTATGTGCAGATAATTCGAAAAATTGGAAAAATAGAATTAATTTTAAAAGCAGACAAAGATCGCACGGATAAAGATCGCACGATCGAGAACACGCGCGAATATCGGCACAATTCGAGCAAAGAACGGAGCGAGCGGACGTCATATTGGCTGTTCGTTTTATAAATGAGTTCACTCGATTGAATCATCGCCTTAAAAATGTATACGAAGTAACAGTAAGGTCTGTCTAAATAATAATCATGTTAGAGGGTAAATCATAACAAAGATTTTATGAGCGGCGACACGAGCGACGAGGATAACGAGAGAGGGTAAATGCATGCATGCATGCGCGTGCGTTGTATATGTCTGTATGTATGTGTATATGTTGAATGTAAATGTGGAAAATGCGTGCGTGAACAGTAGCAAAGCCAGAGAGGAAACAATGTATAACTATTGTATTGTATAATTACGGACGAGATGGATGGTTAATTGCTACGACATCGATTATTGCGATGATGATCATAATAATGATGATGACCGTTCGCACTGTCATGTCGCAAAAATCATAGCAATCATTATTATAATCATAAAAGCGATGCGAATCGACCATGATAATGGCGGGGGGGGGGGGTCTGTAAAACTAATACAATAGTGACGCATACGACGAAGACATGATGTGTATAATAAGCTAAAATTTTATTATATCGGTATGAAATCAGATTTTTGCAACTGTTTGCGTATTGACGACCTATTGACGCCCTTAAATAAGAGAACGAAAAAAAACTGCAAATAAATTAAAGGAAAAAGAATGAAATATATGAATTGTGTTCTGCTTTGTAAATCGTATTGCTCTTCGATATTAACTTACGATTGTGATAGCAAAAGGAACGAAAAATGGGATAAAGAGTGAGAAGGATGAATGAAAGAAGAAAAAAGAAAAGGAAGAGAATAAATGAGAGGAACGTGTGCGAGGGAGAGCGTGAGAGAAATGTGATTGCGGTGTAGTTATGTATGGCAGTCGAAAATCCTTTCTACGTGCTTATCGCGAGCGGAGGAGATGTGCTCGTTGCCCGGATTGTACACTCTCGCGTATACGAAAAGATAAGGGAAACGTGGAAAGACGCTGGTCAAAGTTAAACGGAGAATCGAACGATGGGATACCGCACGTTGATGTAAAGTATTAAGTATTATGGGACTACGTGCATACATATAGTTGTACTAAGGGCACAAGCCTCTCGAACCATCACACGTACTAAGACACGCGTACTCACATGCATTCAGAGTCACACACAGATAAACACATACACAATCATACATATAAAACACATATACGACACATACAGGTACATACAAGGTATACAGAGAAAGGGAGAGAGAAAGAGAGAGAGAGAGAGACAAAAAGATCACAATTGATCAATTGTATACTTGAACTGATTGGTTCTGTTTTATTAAACTCACAGATCGAAATCACGTAATGAAAGGAAGAATGATGTCAAAGGTGGTCTATGTTAGAGAGTGTCCATTGTATAGTGTTTTTTGAAACGTGAGCATTAAATGCTACATCTTGTGTACACTTGTATTACGCTTTATTATGCACACCCGTGAGAAAAGGTGATATGAAAAGTCGTAACGTCGTTGCTGATTAGTTTTACTTCAAATTCAGAAAGAAATATAATATTTTTTGTCCCAATAATGTATTACCTTTCAATATACTTATGCATCATTTTGTTTAATTATAAATCAACAAAATCTTCTGGTCACACTCGACGTTTCGACTTTCGTAACATAAAGAAAGAAGATAAACAGAAAATTATTTGATATTGAAATAATTTTTATTTTATTTGAATATACGCTCATCTCGCATTTTGTCATCAATATTTAAGCACACATGGCAAAATATTTAAAATTTCTTTTTCCGTAAATATTTCCTTTTTTTATAAGAAAATGAGTGTGCGCGTGGTTAAAAAACAAAATTATCAGGACACATTAAATTTTATTAAAATAATAGACAATATTATATGATATACAAAAGCTAAGATCTTCGTAATTGAAGAATTGTATGACAGTAAGAAAATGCTTCATCCTCGCTTAGTAGAAGGATAATTTGCAGAAGGATGTCCTATTTTGCCGAGAGAGAGAGAGAGAGAGAGAGAGAGAGAGAGAGAGACCACTAAAAAGGGCGACATCAGCATTTCAAAAATTGGCGGACCAATCGTTATATGACCGACATTTTATAGCTAGGAGATCTTGGTCGAAAAATTGAGTAGAGGATTGTTAGGGAGCTGTTGATGGAAGTTTTGCTTTGTTATCGCTCCCGTATAGCGTCATTTTTCCGAGTACGACTGAAAAGCGAAAGGGTACCGTTGTATAAAACACATTTGCGATTCGCACGCATCCCCTGGACCGAGGGGGTTCCTCCCTGCATCTCTGTCTGGCATACTGCCTGTTCTGAAATATGATAGGGCGGGTAGAGGACCAGAGAGCATCGCGGTGTTGCTGTAGGTGCCAATTACCGTTGATGGTTATTCCATGGAAATGGACCTTGTTATGCAGCAGCGTCGAGAATCGGGGAAGATACCAATTATTTTTGCTGCCATCGATGCTTTCTGCCTTATCCTAGGCATTATCCAATAAAAGTGCCGAGTCGGCGCGGCGCGGGTGGTTCGTCCAGCATTGGTGGTGCAAGAAGCTAACGAGACAAGTCGTGATGTCGAGGAATGGCAGTCGAAATTTTCTCTTTTCCTTCTGTCTATTTCGTCACGGAATCTTCTCTCATCTTTTCATTCGACTTAACTGTTCGCCTTTCACAATTTATTCTATGAAATAAACACTACTGAAATAAACTCATTAAACTGCTCATTGAATTTAAATCAAGGATATTTACAAGTTTAATGTAATTAATCTAGACTTTGTTTATGATCATGTGTGTGGATTTAATTTAACACATTTTGTTTAAAAAAGTATTATATAATATTCTTATTTAAAAATATATTTTAATCAAACATTTTATACATGAATGAAGTGATGATCGACGGTAGCATAGAAGCAACTATCAATCTTGTAGAAACTAATTCTATTACTTAATTTCTCTTACTTTATGATTGATTAAGAAATTAATATACTTGCTGAAATTAAATTTAAATTAGCTCCATATTTTGCTTTCGAACATTTGGAGTTAAAAGGAGCTAGTCGATCGGAAGAAGTTTCGCGAGTGGATTCGGTTGCTCATTCGCGAAACGGAAGCAATTGCTGCATTAGCCGGAGATCGTGCCGGTGGCTTTAATCAACCGTCGAACCAGGCGATCCGTGAAGCCGTTAGAAAGTTCGTCGAACTAACTCGGTCGTCGTCTAACGCGAGTAACGCGCCGCGGTGGTGCGCGTTAGGAAGCCGGTAATATATTAGGCGCGGGAAGGCCCCGCGAGCAAACAATCTCGTAATGGCAGGACGGCACGGCTGACTGGTGGCGCGGTAATGAGATATTAGAGCTGAGCTTGGCCTGCTAGAAGGGAGTGGCTACTTCGGGGTAGTAATGCGCGATAGGCGCCCGTTTATGTCTCACGGAGCCGAGGGGGTTGTTATTACGGAGCACTGCCAGGATGAGGGCTAGTATCGTTTGCTCTCTCTCGGGACACGATTACGACACCAGACTACCTCGATCCTCGCTTAACGTGCACAACTCTGATCAGAAAATTGACACCATCGGGAATGAATATCAAGCCTTGGTATTCAATGTACTTTTAACTTTCAGCTTTTTTTATATAATATGTATATCTTATTCTTTTTTGTTATTTCTTTTATTTTTTCTCAAACATAGCTTTAACATTTTCAATATAAATTATCATTATTGATTTTATTATATATACAAATAATATATTTAAAACTTTTGTTTCTATTACACGCACATATAATCAATTTATAAAAGTCTTTCTGAAAATCTTAGTCTAATTATTACAAATTTAGCTTATTTTATTGCTCTTTTTTTAAAGAAATTAAAAAATACAAGTGTAAAACTTAGAGGGACTTAAATTCTACTGTTTTAATTAATGATATTACTCTGCACATATTACAATTAAATTGGTCATGATACATCGCCAAAGTAATTGGCGATTAAGCGACAACGCTTGTACATATCAATTGTCAACGATGCATAAATAGATCGCATTCCGATAGACAGGTCGAATGCGGTGTGATTCGTTTGCAGTTGCAACATGTTAACGAAAAGTTCATACTGACAATCATTGATTGGTAATGATCAAAATCATAGTCACTCAATGTACTCGTAAATCGCGTACATCGTACAATCTGAAATGAATATTAAAAGAGCTATGATGATGTAAAACGTTTCATTGCATACATGATTGCCTGATAATTCAATTCAATGTGCTTTAATAATTTATCGATTACTTGACTGGCTTGACTTAGTTTTATCATTATTTTTTTTGTGATTATTTTATGATTATTTTTTTAAATTCTTTTTATCACATATAAAATTTATTTAATAATAAAATTTGTGAATACTCATCTTTATAAAAATTTCTAATTACGTTAAAAACTGTTATTAAATAAATTAAGATAACATAAAAAATTTTTTAATGGATAATTTATATTAAAAGAAACGAGAAATTAATACGTAATAATTTTAAAGATATTATGTAAGAGTCATATTTAACAATAAGTAACATAATTTTAAATTAGGCTCCTGGCGAGTTGTATTTGACAAGTAACAACGCTTTCTTTAGATAGAAATAATTGCGATGGCAATCGCATTTAATTGAAATCTTCATTTATCAATAATGTATAAACAGGCCACGCAAAATCTATTTTCTAATAAACAATTCGCATGTGGCATCATTTCGTCAGAGTAGCACAGTAGCGCAAAAGCGGATGGCGAAGTGGTAGCAAACGGCCAGTTGCCGACGGTCGTCGGCATTCGCCGGTCTCTCCCTCTCATTTCGCTCTCTCTCTCTCTCTCTGTTTCTGCTACCACTGCCGTCGCCGTCCTCTCTCTTTCCCTCGCGCCCACGTACGGACAAATGGGTGTCCCTGCATATGTAAAAGCAGCGCTGTGTTCGGCTCACCCTCGGCCAGCCATTTGTCAATGTCAAGGCGCGAGCGCCGTATCCATGGAAACACCCCTGGCCAACCGGGGGTGCGAGTGCGAGCGAGTGCAAGCGAGTACGAGCGAGCGGCGCGGGCAACCCTCAGTTTCGCGCGACTTCCACCCCCGCCGGCGAAACGCAACCCCGGGGTTGCTTCCACCACTACTGCCTCTGCTACTCGCTTTCCGCAGCCGCTATCGCTACCCTTCGTCGCCACCCCCTCGGCCATCCACTACCGCCAACCACCCGCGACCGACTCAGTTCTCGATATTTGTCCCAAGCGCGCACGCGCTCTTATGACTTTCGTAACTCCTGAGAACGCTACCTTTATTCTTGGAGGCGCCTCAGGACGACCAACTGTTTCCGAAATTGATAGTCTTCCGGTATAAATTGTTTCTAGTAATAATAATCTTTCGAATCAATCACTTACAATTTTAATTTTGTAGAATGAGGAGTGCAAATGTTAAGAATTAGGGGAAATTCTAGATTTTGTTTAATTGAAAAATTTGAAGTCAATTTTTTTAAGTAAATAATTTTGAAAAGTTGTTAAAAATAAAATTAAAATTGAAAATAAAATTGATAGATTTGTGCATTATTATCATAAAAATTACTCTTATTATTATTATTATTATTATGTCAATAGAAAATATTGTATAATCTTATAAATATTGGTCCTGAAATATATATAATTATAAAAATTTTTATAAAAAATATCAATTGATGTACAATACATTTGTTCATAGATAATTTTAAAGACAGAAAATATTTGAGTACTAAGCGATTATTATCTGATGACACCTAAGCTTTTCGCGAATCAGACAATGCGATGTAAAAACGCGCTCAAAGATACAAATATATTACTCTGAGAAATTCTTTATCGCATCATACTGCAGAAAACAAAAAGAGGCTTTTGCTGGCGCGGAAATGATGGAAATAGTAGTGCAAACTACAAAAGAGAAAGATAGCGATGAAAATATCAAGAGAAAAGAAGAGAGAGTGCATTCTCTCTCCTTAAGAGATGAGAGAGAGAGAGAGAGAGAGTTGCAGAGAGGGAAACGGAGGTCAGCGATGGTGGAGAACGGTCGTCGAGCGGTCGGTCTAGGTGGTGCGGGTGGTAACGACTGCATAGCAAGACAGCTCGCTTAAATATGCAGGATGGGCGGCGGCAGGCAGCATTGTAGCGTGCTTGTAGCATAGAGCAACGGGGTGAACTTGGTACTGAGGGAAATGAAGGGGACGAACGCGCAGAAGAGGAAACGAGAGGTAGATGGGGAAGGAAAGGGGAGATAGCTAGAAAGAATGAAAGAGAGGTAAACGACAAAGAAAGAGAATATGAGCGAATTGGAGAGAGGAAGAGAATGTGATGATCGGAGAGAGAGAAAGAGAAAACGGGAGATGGAGGAGAGAGTAAAGGTGGTTTGCGAGCGCTTGCGCGGCCCGTAATGATTGACTGGCTCGCTGGCAGCCAACA